CCCAGTAATTCCATCATATTTTCTTTAGTTGTAGTTTTAGTAGAGGTTTTACGGCACTCGCAACTGCATAAGGTCATATGAGCGCCAGAAGATTAGAGACGTTACAAGCGAGTAATAAACATAAAAAAGAAGAAGGGGAGATAAGGACGATAGATGTTTGATAGGACAGAAGGAGCAAACCATGCCAGAGCACCCGCGAACCACCCACCTCATATTTTCTAGCTAATCCCCAATATTTTCTGGCTTATCCCAATCAATCCCTAGTATTTTCTAGCTCATCTCCAACATTTTGTAGCTCAACTTTAATATTTTCTAGCTCGTCCCCAGTATTTTTTAGCTCAACCCTGATATTTTCCTGTTCTTCCCCAGCAGTTTCTAGATCATCCCCATTATTTTCTAGCTCATTCCAGCTATTTTCTAGCTCTACCCTAATATTTTCTAGATCATCACCATTATTTTCTAGCTCATTCCAGCTATTTTCTAGCTCTACCCTAATATTTTCTAGATCATCCCCATTATTTTGTAGATCATGTCCAGTATTTTCTAATTCACCCACAGTGTTTTCTAGCTCGTCCCTACTATTGTTTAGCTCATCCCCAGTATTTTCTAGCTCATCCACACTATTTTATAGCTTAACCTTACTATTTTTCTAGCTCATCCCCAGTGTTTTATAGCATATCCGTACTATTTTTATAGCTTACCCCCAGTACTTTCTTGTTCCACTTCCAGTATTTTCTCCACCTTGTCACACCTTGTCACACCTTGTCACACCTTGTCACACCTTGTCACACCTTGTCCTCAGTGTTGGGGCCACTACAGTCGGAACATGCCCATCTCTGCCCCTCCCCCTTCCCCTCTCCTCCTTCAGGATCCATCCCAGAGTCTGTCTGCTGACAGTCTCCATTTTCTAGGTCATCCCCAATATTTTCTAGCTGATCTAAACTGTTTTTGAAAGTTCCAATGGTCCCCAGACATTTCTATCTCGTCCTTAACATTTTCTAGCTCATCCCCCAATATTTTTAATCGCATCCAAAACATTTTCTAGCTCATCCTTAATACTTTCTAGTTCATCCAACACATTTTCTAGCTCATTCCAAATGTTTTTCATCTCATTCCAAATATTGTGTAGCCCATCCCCAGTATTATTTAGCTCCTCCCTAATATTTTGTAGCTCGTCCCCAATATTTTCTATCTCATCCATAGTATTTTCTAGCCCACTCCCACTATTTTCTAGCTCATTGTCAGTTTTTTTAGCACTTCCCCAATATTTTCTAGATTTTCCCTATTATTTTAGAGCTCATCCAAAATATTCCCCACTATTTTCTAGAATCATTTCTATTATTTTCTAACTCACCCCTAATGTTTTCTAGCTCTTTCCTAATATTTTCTGGGTCATCCCATGTATTTTCTAGCTAATCCCGAATGTTCCCCTCTATTTTCTAGCTCATTCCTATTATTTTCTAGCTCTTCCCCTCTTTTTTCTAACTCCATTCCCAGTATTTTCTAGTTTCACCCCCAGTGCTCCCCAGTATTTTCTAGCTGATCCGATAATATTTTCTAGCTCATCTCCAATATTTTCTAGCTTATCCCTAGTATGTTCTAGCTCATCCACTGTATTCCCCAGTATTTTCTAGTTTGATAACCAAAATTAGCCAGTATTTTCTAGCTCATCTCCAATAATTTTAGCTCATCCACAATATTTCCAAAAACTTTTGTATGTCATCCCAACATTTTTTTTCTATTTCATCCCCTCCCAAATAGTTTCCAACTCATCCCCCAATTCAATATACCCCAGACTTTTCTATCTCATCCCCAATATTTTTTATCTCATCCCCAGTATTTTCTAACTCATCCGTAATATTTTCTAGCTCATTCCCAGTATTTTTTTTTAGCTCATCCATAATATTTTCTAACCCATCCATAGTATTTTCTAGTTCATCCCTAGAATTTTTTAACTCATCCATAGTATTTTCTAACTTATACAAAATATTTTCGAACTCATCCCTAATATTTTCTAGCTCATTGCCAGCTCATCTCCAGTATATTTTAGTTCATCCCTAATATTCACTAGTACTTCCCCCTTGTTTTCTAGCTCATCGCCAGTATTTTCTAGCTCATCGCCAGTATTTTCTAGCTCATCGCCAGTATTCTTAGCGCTTCCTCGGTACTTTCTAGCTTTTCTAGCTCATCCCGAATATTCCCTACTATTTTCTAGCTTTTTTTCTATTATTTTCTACCTCATCCCTAATATGCTTTAACTCATCCCTTGTATGTTTTGGTTCATCCCCAGTATTTTGTAGCCAATCCCCCACCCAGGAATTTCTGGCTCACCAAGAATAATTTTTAGGTCATCCACAATATTTCCAAGCCCAGTATTTTCTAGCTCAACCCTAATATGTTCTATCTTATCCCTCATATTTTTAAACTCCAAAACAAGTCTAGCTCACCTCCGGTATTCCTCAATATTTTCTAGATCGTTCCCAGTATTTTCTAGCTCATCCGTAAATTTTGCAAGTATTTTCTAGCCCTTCCCAATATTTTCTTGCTTATTCCAAATATTCCCAAGCATTTTCTAGCTAATATCCAATATTTTCTAGCTTAACCCTAATACTTTCTAGCTCATCCCCACTCTTTTGTAGCTCATCCCAAGCATTTCCTTGATCAATCTCTAATATTTTATAGCTCCTCCCAATTACTTTCTAACTCGTCCTCATTATTTTCTAGTTCATGCCAAATACTCTTCAGTATTTTCTAAATCATTCTCAGTATTTTCAAGCTGATCACTAGAATTTGCCAGTAGTTTCTAGCCCATCCCCAATATTTTTGGCTTATCCCAAATATTCCCCAGTATTTTCTAGCCCAACCCTGGTATTTTCTAGATAATCCCCAGTATTTTCTAGCTCATCCTTAAATATTCCTAAAACTTTTCAATCTCAATACCATTACTTTTTAGCTCATCTTGAATTTTAAAAAATTTATCTCCCCCCCCC